GGAATTCATGCTAAAATGCAAATATTCACAATATGTACAGCCTTTAAGAGGACACAACACCGAGTCCACGCATCTGCAAAAAGCCAGATATAACAGCTCTGGGAAAGGAGCAAATTGAACTTGACTTCTGGCCAGTTTTCCAGCATTTTACAGGACCCTACAGGGAGCTCAGAAATTTTGTTGATGACACCTGTAGTTTCTTTTCTCTACTGCTGCTAGAAACAATATAGACTGCAATATTTCCTTTTGGCAAGTGCAGCTGTATTCCATACTAGGCCACCCTACCAAATAGGTGGCACTCTGCTTTCAAGAGGCAGTCTGTTCTTAATTCCATCCAGCAGGCTGCCATACAGAGGTTGCAGATTTCAAATGATCTTCAGTACGCTTTTGTACTGCATATGTAAGTCACCCTGGGAGCCTAAATGCTGCCTGATTTGATTTTTAATTATGTGTTCGCAAATACCATTAGGATTTGGAACTATGAAAAAGTAACTCTGCTTAAATATTTGGGTTTAATTATTCATGGTGCACAGACACTTATGTCACCACTCATTAAAATAGTTACAGTGACAATTTAAACTGCAGCAACTGAAATCTGCTTGCCCATTGCATTTTCACTGATAACAAGAACATATATTTAAATGCCACTTTGTATTCATTTCACAATAAAGCTCTCTCCTGCAGGAATATGCAGGGAAGTGGTGCTCAGAATTTGTTAGGAGCAGAGACTAAAGTGACAAGTTAAATAAAAATATTATAAATACCTACCCCCATTTATTTCACTGAAATGAAGTACATTTATTGCCCACTGCCCAGCAAAGACAGGACTGGTCATATGGGACAGCTACTTCCACTCTTATTAAGGCCAGCAGGAGGTGGGTGTGCTAATAAGGCCATGTGATGTTCAGGAAAGAGGAAGGGAACAGTGGCTCACTGCACAACAGCAACCCCTTCAGTATGGTAGGGAGCATATCTGAAGTACTGCTTGAAGCATTAGTACAACCTGTGATGTAGGGGCTAATTACTTAACTGCACCATGACTACTTCCCATCTACAACCTCTACACCTGCCAGAGGCTTTGCAAGACATAAGTACATACGCAAAGCCATTGCTGTGTTTGAGTGAAAGGTGAATGATACATGCAAAACATTTTCAAATACCTTCTTAGCAAAACAGTAAATTCTCTAAGGTAGGCCAAGGTGATTAGTGGCCTTGGTCGCCTACATTAAAAGGGTCTGATTTTCAGTAGTGCTGCCCACTATGTCTTAGAAAGAAAGAGAGAAAAAGAGAGAGAAAGAAAGAAAAGCAAGTCGCCTGGCTCATCTCAGATTTTTCAGTTATCAGTTACATTTGAAACCTTGACTTGTCTCTAACTTTCTCTGCAAAGCTACCCACACACACAGTCATACAGAATGACATACACATGTGAATAGAATTGAAAGCTTCCACAGCTGCCCCACTTCAAGCTGAAGTGCTCCATTAGGATAGAGCAGGGAACATCTTCATCTGAGTGAGATGTGTGCTACAAGCATAACCTGCAGGTCTCCTTGAGGTTTTGGGAGAAGAGAAAGAAAGAAATCTTTGTTTTCCTTCCAGAAAATTGGTTTACTTCCACTGGAAGCACAAGCTGGCGTATGACTTAGTTGCAAACCGCTATATTGCAGTGAACTGAGTTTAATGGGTTGAAAATGAGATGCTGTTTTTGGTAGCAAGGAAGCTATTTCACCCAATCCCAAAGTTAAGAGCCAAAGTCCACCCTGAGACAGACTTGCAATTCCTCTTTCTTTACTTGTGGTTTCTGCAATCTCTATACAAACACATACAGCTGTAACCAAGCAGAAAGCTTCCAGACAAAAGATTTCTATTTAAAGCAAGAATTTAGGGCAGATGGAAGTTTGACTTACCCCTTGCTCAGTCTCTCTGACTGCTGCAAGATGGGACAGAGTATAAATCGGAGCAGTTGTTGTTCCTCAAGGGTTTGAAATAATTGCTGGTGAAAAGTAAAAGGTTTATCTGAATGATTCCACAAAGCATAAGTGAATTTTAAAGATGGATTATTCCCCACCTCCTTATTCCCCTATGCTAATAGCAAGGGCCACAGACTTATTATCCAATCAGTAATATATATTAAAAAGTCCTTGCTTTTGTAGCACCTCAGGAGTTATTAGAATAGCTTCTCTACAATGCAATAGTGAGCAGCTGTGGCTGTTGCCAAATTTCAAAAGTTGACATTACTTGGAAACTGCCTTGAAGCAAGAACCCATGGTAAACAAGCTGTCAAGCTTAACTAGGATATCCTGTGAAAATGTTTTAGACAAACAAACAGCTTCACCATGGCTCAACAATGCAGCTGCTCCTGAAAGGACTTTGCTTGGTACTTGTGTAAAGCGGTCCTTGGGTTTTTTCATGGCGTTCATTTCAGCAAAATACCTCCATCAGATTTGCCTAATGTCCATTGCTACTAGCTCATCCTATAGAGACCATTCAAAGTTCCTTTATGTTAAAATGGCAATGCAAAGATAAAAAGGTATACATCAAAGAGACCTTTCAGTAAGAGCCTGGTGGAGAAAAGGCCTTCACAGTTTACCACAGTGAGCTAGTCAAGGTTAGTATTTAAGTAAAAACTACATTTACCTTGTCTCTACTAGGATTTTACATTGGAATAGCTAGCTGAAGTAATCTTTCTCAATAGAAACAAACACCCAGAAGGACATAAAGCTCTATTGAAGACATTTTCATTACTTAAAAAATAGAGATGGTTTACATTCCTCAACCACCCTGGCAATCAGTACTAGGATTGTTCGCTTCTGGCTCTTCCCTACTAGAAAACCAACCTGAGAAAATTTCATGTAAGCAAACTTCCTTCCTGCTCCCAGAAGGAAGACAAGTGCCCCACCTCTACATGCAGCAGATTCATATGACCCCATAGTTCCTGGAGCTTCAACACAGGTTTCACAACTATTTAAAAATCAATGACAAATGATGGCTAGATCATCCTCACATGCAGTCTTAGTAATCCAGGTTCATTCTGTTGTCTGTGCATAGCAGCTCCCCTTATCAAAATTATCACATAGTACCTTTCAACCCAATCTTTTCCAAAGCCCTGAGACACTGAAATACATAAAAGCTCACACTGGGCACATGTACACAAGATGTATTACTGCATGGCAGACTAATTTGCTGCACAGTAAAGTGTCACTGTCTACATGTATGCGGCAGTTAGGGTGCTAGATACACCTATCAGATACAAGTGGTATCCATCAGCGCAGTAAATAACTGTGCTTAAATGTATGTGTAGATGGTGACACTGGGGATTGGTTTACTTCAGCTCAGATTGAACCGGAGTATATTCAGTCACATTAATTGCACATGTAGATGCGCCCACTGAAAGCTATGGTAGCTATGTGCACATTAAGTGCAGGATCAGGCTGTTTGTATCTACGTAGCAATCACTTCTCAGCCTTTAGAGGGCTGGAACTTGGCAGCTGTTTAACACATTAATTCTGAACACTTCCCTCACGCCAGAAGTAAAATATACTACATACAGTTAGAACTGGTGTAAGAGTTTTGGGTAAGTTTTAACCTTTTGGAGGGAAATCCTGCTTCCAAGTTGTGCACAATCTTTACAGGCTGAAAATTCAAGTTTATTGAAGACAAACACACAGGCCTCTCCACAGTCTGGTCAAAAGGGAACTGTAAACTTCAAAATTTCCACTTATCCCCCCTTCTCCCTCCTTTGCTGTCCCTTTCCTGCTGCCTTGCTTGTTCTCTCAGCCTTTGTCCCTGTCTTCCTATCCATGTCCCTTGGATTTGCCCAGTTCTCCATCTCTCCCCTGGAGGCTAGAGTGGTGCAGGCACTAAGGCACACTGTTGACATCCCAAAGGTCACAAGTTTGAGGCTATAGCAGATCCACTTATGGCATAGCCCTGTTAGATTCTAGTGAATCTACAAGTTCTGCTAAATACCTTGTCACAAGAAAAAGGCAAGATCTTACTTTCTCATAAGTCATCTGGCCTGTATTTCTTTTTCTCCCTGTCTAATTCCATCTCTCCACACACCTGTTGCATGCCCAGACCACACTTAGTGAAGAAGTGTAGGTCACTATCCTGGATGTTAATCTAGCTTCAGATCCATTTGAAACACCAGGTGTTAGTGCCTTTTCTTTGCTAGTCATCTCCACTTCCACTTGCAAAGATTGAACAGAAAGGGTGGCACTGTTAGCAGGACTTGAGTCTGGATTCAGTTAAATTGTGAACCAAGATAGACCATTTTTAGCATAGTGCAAATTCTTGAGGAAACCAAGCTTTGTTGAAGATCATAAGTAGCTTTATAAAAAAAAAGTAAAGTACACCTGAATTGAGACAACTCGTGCTAACACAAGAAGCCCTGCATTTCTCTTCCACAGTGTGATTAACTCCTCTAGTATTTTTGTGCAATCTTGAGTCTGACTCATTGACTCAGAAAAAGGGGAGAGGAAAGAGAGCCTGAACCTCCACTAGTACTTATGTATGTCCATAGCTTTAAAGTTACCTGTAGAGCTTCACCATCTGTTCAATGGTATTGTCAAGTTATCAACATTTAGCATTTAAAGGAGCACATCAGCTAGGTTTGTTTTCAAAGAGTAGGCAACTTATCCCTTAGAGAAGGGGGCTTGATAACAGAATGGAGGGGGACAGGCAGCTAGTTTGATAGATTCTGAAGACTCCCAGCAAAAGGGGGGCGAGACTGGATTGTAGCATGAACTGTCCCACACGCATCCATTTTTCTCCTATCAGAAACTTGGGGGACAGGCCATACAAGAGTTGTCTTTGGCCTCTGATGGCCGTCTCCTTGCTACTGAATTTATCCAACCATTAGGCTCCAGGATGGGACAGTTCAGCAAAGAAAATGGCCAAGAACCAGATCAGTGAAGTGGGTAAATTGTGCCAGAGGTACAGAGATAGTGGGGTTAACAGGAGAATAGTTTGTTCTGTTAGAAAGGAGTTGGTAGTATAAGAAAGTGGCTTCTTGAAGCGACTAGCAAAGGGAAGACTGAAAACAAACACTAATTTTGAATGCAGTTCACTACAGGTAGGATGCATTTTTTCATACTAAACATTCATTTTAGGACACAAGATGTTTCTAGATTTAAACCTCTTTCCCCTCCCCTTTTTTCTCCCAGGTGTCATTTAGGTACCACTGTAGATTATACAATGAATGGCGTCGGACCAATCAGAGGGTGATACTCATAATCCCAAAGTCTGTCAACGTTCCTTCAAACCAGCAGTCCTTGCTGGGCCTGCATTCAGTCAAAAGGAACTCAAAGGAGACAATCGTTTGATTTCGGCAGTTCTGCACTGGGGCCATGCACTAAATATACTTTCTTAAACCCGGTGGGGTCTGATTCCATCCAGAACCTGGTAGTATGCTATTCTGATTTATAAACTCTTTGCGGAGGAAGGAATCACTGTTTTAATTCAAATCATGGATGCTGCAGTCATATGATATTTGCTAAGCTGCCAAACATGTTTATTTAGCAGATACTGTATGGAATTCTTCAACCTTGTGTTAATAGCTGCATCATCAGTGATGCAAACCCTCATTTTTTTATTATTGTTTAAAAATATTAAACTATGATAATTAACAATGCAAAACAAATGTAAAAAGTGCTTTCATTTTATTTTTTGTTTGCTGTTTCTGCAGTATCGTTTTTTTTTTTTTTAGGTAGTTGGATGGGACGCAGCACTGTATTTTTAATTTTTCTGAACCAAGAGGATGGCATTACAGATGGATATTCTGTTACAGTTAATTTTATTTGAAGGACATTTTATACTAATAACTTGGATTATTAAAACAACTTTTTTTTTTAAAGGAGTGGTGCATTCTACAAAATGACATATTTAAATACCATAATCATTAGAAAACAAATATACATTCTTTGTTGTTTGGTACATAAGGTATGAAAGAAAAGTATTTTTAATAATAAATTTAAAGTATGTGAAAGAAACATACCTCATGGATTGCAATAATCTCCCTAGTCAAAAAGTGTTTCATTGTTTAGCTTCCAGAAAGGAACTCCATTACAGGGTTATTTTTCTTTGTGTTCAGAGGGAGAAGATTAGTGCAGACTTTGGTGCTTTAAATTATACCAGTGTAAATCCAGCTTTAACCACGTTAATTTGTATTTACACAAAGCTGAATTTGGCCCTAACTGTTTAACATCAATTTTGTAAGGGGAATTCTGCATACATAATGAATTAGCAGATCATTAGATGTTTTCTAGGGAGCCCAGACCTGTCTTGCATAATAATTAGTATTACTCTAGAGCTGCTGAACACTCAGCTCGGCAGGTAAATTTAGTGAAGTGAATATAAACCCTGACCTCTCATTGTAGTATTGAGACTAAATCTCTCTTTAAAAAAAATGTAAGAACAGCATAGTGTCATGACCAAACCAGATTTGGAATGTGACTGCTAATTTTTTTCATCTTGGGTGGCATTTCCTACTTTCAGCCATGCATTTTTCTAAGCATCAATTAAATCACTGATTTTTTAGGTTTTGGCTCAGAAGGGAAATGTACTTACGTCAAAAGACTCATTTGGTAGTGAATGCTTCAATTGCTAATAGCTACTAACAAAAGCTGCTGACAAACCAGTGACACGTAACCTACTTGCAATTTTAAAATATGGATTTCTAGAGCATGACATATTTAAAAGGTAATTCCAACATCTGCTTGGTTTCTCCTTTTATTTTCAAACTAAGCACAAGGTGAATAGCAACAAAGGTGTTGATCTATATTTTAAGGTGAATCAACCTGATGTGTTTCTTGCCAGCCAAGATAGCCATTTAAAAATGGTGCTATAGCAAATGCATGCACTCGCAAGCTCCTCAGCAAGTTGGTGCTGTCTTCACTCAAATAATTTGAGTGAAGACAATAGATTTTTTTCCCCTTTTAAGACATATATTTGATATTCCACATAGTCATCACTCCTTGACAGAGTATTAGAAATTATACCATCTATACTCTTAACTGATCTTCCTCTAGTGAAATAATGCCCACTTTGCCTATGTCACACTACTTTCACCACAGTGAAACAGGATCACTGTTGCTTGTAAATCATGGACTTGAGCCTGCAAATCTATATTCACGTAGATATAGTTCAGTGTCCTGTAACCATACACCACAATCTATGTTCAATAAGGAATAAGTGTGTGATAAAAAAAGATAAAACAAATAATGCCCAGACTTTAAAACTGCAGAAATCTGTTACCTTAATTCAACAATGAGTTAAAACTTGCTTTACCTTTTCTCCTCTAAATTCATAAAGTTTGGCATTAAGAGCTACAGTATCTGAAGTCAGTGATTACTTTCCCTTTTCTGAAGTATGAACTTGAAAATGCATCACAAGAGAAATTATTTACCAGCAACTGGAGTTCTCTGACATGTCTCATCCATAAGGGTGCCCTGACTGTGGGCATGCATACACCTCAGTTACCTGCCCAGAGATCCTTGGCCTGAGCAATACCTTTAGGATATTGCATGACCCTGCCCCCATCCTGTGCAACACAGAGGCTAAACAGTAGTGCACCCCTTTCTGCAATTCAGCTCCTCTTCATCACCTCTTCTAAAGACAGAACACTCCTGTTGGCATCCTTGTCTGGGTACCCAGGGCAGAAAGCTTCAATTCCTCACTAATGTCAACAGAAAGGCTCTAGTATCGAAATCATCTTGGCCATATATGGGCTTTCAGGATCATCTTGTGGTATGCCTGCAGGATCAAAGATATAGGTGGGAAGGCATATAGGAGGATTCTGAACCACAGGATAAGGCAGATTTTGGGGCACTAAAGCTGGATACAGACCTTCCCTGGAACAAAAAAAAAAAGGAGCAGCAGTTCCTGGTAATATCAACACAAACAAGTTTCCCTTGGGTGACCCTGATCTGCAAAGATGAACCAGATCCACTTCTGCTGTACAGAGATGAATGGGCTGAGGAGGGCTGTCTTGGAGAACAGGGAAGTGCCCTGTGAACACCCAATAAACCACTTCCATAAGCAGAACACTTCCCTGCACAGAGGGCAAGTCTCGTACCACCTGGCCTTTTAATGTAGAAGATTGTGGTAACATGGTCCATATCCATCATGAATGCATTGGAGGAAGACTAGGCAAGCTCTGGGTACTTCCCTGAGTCCCCGAGATCAATGTGGAGTCTCACCTCCTCTGGTACTTGGAAGTTACTCTGCCTAGCAGAGGAATCTATCACAGTGGTCAACGATGAATGCAAAAGGAGCAGGGGCAACCATGAACTAGTTGTTTACTTGGTGAGAACCTCATGATATGGAAGTAGGCATGTAAATTGAGAGATTCGAATCAGGCCCCTTCCCTTAAGGTCTTTTAAGAAGTCATCTTTCTAAGGCTTGAAAAATTGATTAGTTCGCATGGGTACTTGTAAGATCACTGGTATTATGGACTGACCTCAGAACTACCTTCAATAAACAAGGACAAAGATTACTATGAGGAAGCCAAGAAATGAAAACTATAATTAATTAAAGCAGAGTTAAAATAATGTGCTTAATGGTTAGAAAGGTCTCTTAACCAGAGGTTTGTGTTTAGCTTAGTTCTCACATTCTGCAGTCTATTTTAACATTTTAAGCACAGAAGATGGCTTAGTTAAGGAAACAACTAAGACAGGTTCTTCCCTATTTGGTATAAAGGCAAGAGGTTCTTATTATGAAAAATATTACTATATAGTACTGTACCTGACATGCAGATGAGTGCTGCTAGTAATCTCTCAGACCCCTTATTCATGTTCTTTTCATGTTTTACACTCACCAGAAGGAAACATTATGATGCCTCATTCTTTTCCTTTCTTCTCCAGTGGCAGCAAGATAGTAGGCTGAATGTGGCTAATGCTCTCTTCCCCCAGTCCTTCTGGACCAAAGTTATGTCAAACAGAGAAATGATGCAGAGCTGGTCAGTAGGAATCTTCTAAGACAGCGTTTCTCAACCTATGAGTCACAACCCAAAAGTGGGTCACACGAATATATGAAAGGGTAGTGAACAAATTTTAAAAATAGATTCTCCTTTAAAGGAGAAAAACGTAGGAAATTGTGGCTTTCCCCTTGCATGCTGGCAGAGTTCCAGCCTTCAAGGGGCTGCTTGGGGACCCCCTACCCTTCCCCTACACATTGGGGTGCTGGGGCCTGGGACAGGGGTTGGGAGTGAGGGGCACTGGATTGGGACCGGCCATCAATGTTTACAAATGGGTCCTAGTGCAAAAAATAAAATGTTGGAAACCACTGCTCTAGGAGTGATTTTTTTCGCGGGAGTTGCTACTCGAATGCATGCACATTCAAAATTGAAGTTCTTGAACAGAAACAGCAACATTCACTTTTTTGCTTCTGTAGAGATTTTAGTAGTAGTAAATACCTGCAGCACAAGCCAGAGCTAGTAGACCTCTGACAGCCCAACAATGGCTCCATTGTACTATCACATGACAGATCCAGTTAAGGGGGTGGGGTGGGGAAAATAACTGATCAAAAGAATGGCTTTTTATTTAATGCAGCTCATTCTCCTTTTGCCTGACAGTATCATGCTTTTCCACATATGACTGGGTTTGGGTTTCCCACTCATTTTAATTATAATCGCTCAGTAGAGATGAGAGTGGTACTTGATTTCAAATTTTTAATAGAAAATTTTAGTGAAGGAATATGCCAAACTCATTTGGGAAGCTGCAGCTATGATATAGCTTCCATTGCCTTTGCACCCTCCTACTGTCACCATCCTGACACATTGATGGTAGAGATCACTATCCTAAATGTGTGGAGTTCAGGCCACATACAAACAATTAACGGCATCTGTGCAAAATGGAGAAAGCCAGTGCCATTCTTGCAGGTAGTGATAACTGGGGATATGACAAACTCCAGATTAGACAAATATATAGTTTTCTAGATTAGACAGATGCTGACATTTCATGTCTTGAATTTAGCATAGATTAAAATGCTAATTAATTCTGGAACCACATTAAGTACTGGAATCAACAAATCCACAGTAAGCAGCCAAGCTTTACAAGCTAAGACTCAGTATAACGTTTAGAAAATAAGTATGATATGAATAGAGTACAGCATAAAACACTACAACAATTATTTGACGGGTACTTATATTAAGACATTTTTCTAAAGCAGCATCTACTATAAGGATTCAATTTCTAACAGTTTGCATACTCATCACCACTGACCTTCCTGAGATGAACTGAGACTATGTCTTTGAAAACTCATGGCTGTTGGGAAAGGTCCCAGTTGATTGGCAAAGGACAAATCTAGTGCCCATCTTAAAGAAAGGGAAAAAAGGAGAATCCGGGGAACTACAGACAGGTTAGCATCACCTCAGTTCCTGGAAAAATCATGAAGTAGGTCTTCAAGGAATCCATTTCTAAACACTTGGAGGAGAAGAAGGTGATTAGAAACAGCATGGATTCACCAAGGCCAGGTCATGCTTGACCAACCTGATTGCCTTCTGTGATGAGATGACTAGCTCTATGGATGCAAGAAGAGCAGTGGATGTGATATACCTTGACTTTAGCAAGGTTTTTGACATGGTCTCCCACAACATTCTCACAAGCAAGCTGAGGAAGTATAGGCTGGATGAATGGGCTGTAAGGTGGATAGAAAACTGGATGGATCATCAGGCTCAGAGGGTAGTAATGAATGGCCCTTTGATTGTCTCTCAAGTGTCGTCCAGTCCCAAGGGTTGGTCCTGGGGCCAGTTTTGTTAATATCTTCATCAAGGGCCTGAAGGATGGGTTGGAGTGCACCCTCTGCAAGTTTGCAGATGACACCAAGCTGGGGGGATGGGGAATAGTAAATATGCTGGAGGGTAGGGCTAGGATTCAGAGAGACCTAGCCAAATTGGAGGATTGAACCAAAATAAATCTCATGAGGTTCAATAAAGACAAGTGCAAAGTCCTGCACTTAGGACAGAACAATCCTATGTACTGGTACAGACTGGGGACTGACTGGCTAAGCAGAAGTTCTGGAGAAAAGCATCTGGGGGTTACAGTGGACAATAAGCTGAATATGAGCCAACAGTTGTCCCTTGTTGGAAAGAAGGTGAATGGCATACTGGGCCAGCAGGCAGAGGGGAAGAATCACTTTCCTCAATTTAGCACTAATGACACCACATCTGGAGTACTGTGTCCAGTTTTGGGCCCCCTGCTATAGAAAGGATGTGGACAAATTGGAGAGTCCAGCAGAGGGCAATGGAAGCAGTTAGAGGGCTGGGACATATTTTTATGAGGAGGGGTTGTGGAAATTGGGTGTATTTAGTCTGGAGGAAAAAAGAGAGGATTTAATAGCAGCCTGATGGGTGGATCCAAAGAGGACGGAGCTAGACTGTGCTCAGTGGTGGCAGATAACAGCAATGATCTCCAGTTGCAACAAGGGAAGTTTAGGTTAGATAGAAAGAAAAAAAAACTTTCATGAGGAGGGTAGTAAAGCACTGGAACAGTTTACCCAGAGAGGTTGTGAACTCTCCACCCTTAGAGGTTTTTAAGAGCTGGCTGGGATGATATAGTTAGGGCTGGTCCCTTTCAACTCTCATTGTCTAACTCGTATAACTATACATCTGTCCTCCACTTTCCTTTTAGACTCTCCACTACTGCTGAGTAGTGGAGGTGCTGAAGTCTACTTTATTGAGCAGGAAATGCAAATGGCATTTGCTTTAAAACAAACAAACAACAACCCATAGAGAGGAAGGAAGTTATCCTGGTTTTCATATTTTCAGGACCCGTCCAATTTAATTAAAAGGAAGAAAAAAGGGATAAGTTGATCAACCATAGGAATCTTGAAAGTTCTTGGTTATGTCTTCTTTACCAAAGTGGAGCAGGAGGCTCTTAAAAAGCTAGGGGACAATAAGCTTCTCTCTCTCTTTCTTGACCAACAAGCCATGCCTGTTATTTTTTTGTTTTTAATATTACCTCCAATATATATATATAGAAAAACCCAAAGTAAGTGTGAATCTGCCCAACTTGAGGCTCAAAATTAATCATCCCCATCCCCTCCTCTGACACATTTCAGGAGATGGGGATGTATTTCCAACCAGAAACCTGCTTGCTTTGTGCACACAAACACAATTAACACAGAACCAGACTAATTTGGAAGAGCTTCCTGTACAATGTAAAAGGGATTAGCTAAAGGCAAGATGCAAAAAAGGCCTTAATGGGCCCAGAAATAAAAGGGAGGGAGAGCAAGATTTTTGGCCACCAGGAAGAAAAGAAACACCAATTCCCATTGTACCATGTTATTGCCGCTTACAGACATGGTGGTTAATGTAATGCAGGCTGTAAACGAGAGGAATTAGAAATGAGATCTAACATGCAGGAAATGAGTACTCTGGCTCATTTCTGAACTGTTTTGCTAAATCTAGACGATTCTAAAATCTTTGAAAATATTAAATGAAAGATGCCCAACTTTCATCTGGTACTTTTGCAGTTGAAGATCAGCTTTCAATTATCATGTAACAGGGATCTTCATAGAAATGTTAGTTCCAGTTGAGTTAATTGTTCTAGGAACAAAATTACTCTTCAAGGCACCACTGCAATGAGAACACTGAAGGTTACACAAAGAAAATAAGGACTTGCTTCTTGGTCAGCAGGCTTATTTTTCTTCCCCGAACATAATTCCCTCTGGCCAGGACCTTTCACACTGCCAATTAAGTTAGATTTAATTCTCCTTGAATTTGGAGCATTGCTCAAAAGCAACAAAGTTCTTATGCTGCTGACCAACTTCCAGCCAACTATGATCAGGTTTTCCCTGCTTCTGGTACATTTCCTATAGGAGAAATAAGCAGTACCACTCTTAGTCAATAAAAAGGCTTAACTTTTCACATGAATGTGACTGTTAGGGGTATGCTATGAAAATAGTAGGTCAATAATATGCTGTTAGATGCCTCAAAGTGCAGCATCACTGTCCTTTCTATAAACTTACCTAGCATGCTCTCGCCCACAAGACAATAGGATACTTATCAGCTGCATACACTTATTTTTTGTGCCAGATGTTGGTATTAGCAAAAACCTTGTGGATCACAGCTGAATCATGAATCTTTGATAGAGCAACATTACTACCAATAAACGTAACAGGTCTAAACTTCCTTATCCCCCATTTCATATGCTATTTATTGAAGTTCTTGAGAATTATTGCCTTTATTTGGGCACTTGAAGTCCAACTTTCGCCTTAAATCATACAAACAGCCATTTGGATGCCCAGCTCTTCAGAATCAGTGTCATTAGGCAGCTGTTCAGCAGCTAGTGTGAAGTCAATTGATTCCAGTCAGCGATTCACCATCGCTAAGTCAAGATGCTAGGAACTGAACAGAAAATAAATGATACAGCCATAGAAGGAACTGTGCAAGTCAGGATTGAAGCATGTTAGAAAGCTTTACGTGATCAATCACCCAAGCAGTGCACGTTCTGTAGAACAAACTACACTCAAATCTTCAAAGTTGAAAACATGAGCATAAAAAAAAGCTTGAAACATTAGAGCCAAGTACAGATAGTCAAAAAGCCCGAGACTGAATTGATTCAATTTTTGCAGGTTAGTCTAAGATGCGTAGATTGAGCCAATAATGCAATGCATGCTTGCAGTGGCCCAGGCTAGAAGCCAGGGGGCACTAGAGCACACTGCTGTGCTCAGCTTGGCCCAAGACCAGCCCACCCACCCTGCAAGGGGGGGATTTGCTGGGGAGGTACAAAGCATCCTGGGATGCTGGAGGACTGAGCTAGCTTGAATCTGGAGGGGATCTAGGACACAAGTTCAATAAACTGATCTACCTTCAATCAGTAAGTCTGATACTACATCCATGCAGGTTTATTGTAAACCTGCTTCAGCCATTTTGAAAGTGGTTCATGTGCACTGCACTTCTGTTGTTATAGATTTTAACCGGTTTCCAATTAGTTATACCAGTTTGTGTGTAATTTCTGTCCCTAGCCTAAGTGAATAAACATATCCATGTAAAATTCAAATGGCAATTAGTAATTGCACCTGGTAAAATAATAACTGTGGATTGACACAAAATAAAAAGAGGTGTGAATGCTATAATCCTCACAGGAATAGGAAGAGGAAGTCAGGAGTATACAAAGATAGCAATGATGTAAATATTCCCAAGAAGGGAAGACCATATATATTTCACACACACACACACACACACACACACACACACACACACACACACACACACAATGCAAAGGAACTTGATGAGGCAGAATGTGTTTAAGAGACCAAAATATTACTAAATCTCCA